CCGTCAGGAACGCTCAGCGTGACAGCGGCCGCTCACCCAGGGATCATGTGAGGCCCGAGGAGTCACTGGGTTTGGCCTCCCGCCTCTCAGCGGCCTGGGGCCCGGTGGGTGGAGCGTGACCTTGCTGCATGGAGCTCCGTGCCCCTGGACGCCGAGGGACACCCTCGCCCAAGTTCAAACAGCTGCTCACGGACGGCGCTGGGAGGTCCATCTGGACTGAGGGTTCTGCCCGCCCTGCGGCGGGGCCAGCCCCCCAGCTGTCCTGCGTGACCTTGGGTGAGCCGTGTCATCGCTCTGTGCCCAGTGTCCCCCCAGTAACACGAGGGCTACCCTAGTGGGGCATAGGCTGTTTTTTTTTAAAAATATATTTTATTGATTTTTCACAGAGAGGAAGAGAGAGGGATAGAGAGTTAGAAACATCCATGAGAGAGAATCATTGATCAGCTGCCTCTTGCACACCCCCTAATGGGGATGTACCTGCAACCAAGGCACATGCCCTTGACCGGAATCGAACCTGGGACCTTTCAGTCCGCAGGCCGACGCTCTATCCATTGAGCCAAACCGGTTTCGGCGGCCCGGGCTGTTTTTATCATTATTGTGATTTATATCAAATGGATATTTGGTCTCAGTCCCAGCACTCAGTTCCCGAGACCCCTGTAACTGGCTCAGTGAGAAGAGGGGGACCTTTTGTTATAATATTGGATATATCGATAGTTGGACTTTTGTCTGATTCCTGAAACAGCTCCAGAATGAATGATAAAGACGAAAGAGTCCTTTTGCAAGGACTTGTGACCACCCTGAGCGTATGGGGAGGCTGTGGCCGTGGGAAGGCCCTGGGACCGCAGGAGAGGGCGGATGGCGGGGCAGGGGGGGGGGCAGCGTGCGGTAGAGGGTGGAGCTTTCAGGGGAGAGGGGCTGGGGATTGAGTCAATCACCGAAGGCCACACCCGGGTGGGCGCCTCCCGCTGGGTGAGCACAGCCACGTGCCGGGAGGTAGTGCCAGAGCTGCAGCCCTTCCCCAAACCTGGCTCTGTGCGCCTCTTCCGTCCCGCTGTTCCCGAGCTCCCGTCCTTATAAAAACTGCTCATCTAGCGAGTCAACTGTTTTCCCAAGTTCTGTGAACTGCTACAGCCAGTGGTCAGACCCGAAGTGGGGGATGAATGGGAACCCAGATTTGTAGCCAACGGGACAGAAGTGTGGGTAACCTGGACACCCGCTACTTTTGATCGGCTTCTGATGGGATAATTGTGGGGTTTGCACTACCTCTGAGCAGTGTCAGAATTAAGTTACCTTATAGGACATTCAACTGGTGCCTGCCAATAACTGGAGAATTGCTTGGTGTGGGAAAAAGCCCCCCCATCTCGTGTCAGAGGGTTGGTGTTGAGTGTAGAGAGGAAACAGTTTTCTCATCCAGTAGCAGTGATAATAATGATAATGACGCTATAGCAATTAATAGGATGTATAATTATTCATGCATATATAATTAATATATTATTAATAGTATTTTTTTTAAATATATTTTATTGATTTTGTACAGAGTGGAAGTGAGAGAGATAGAGAGTTAGAAACATCGATGAGAGAGAGTCATCGATCAGCTGCCTCTTGCACACCCCCTAGTGGGGATGTGCCCGCAACTAAGGTACATGCCCTTGACCGGAATCGAACCCGGGTCCCTTCAGTCCCCAAGCCGACGCTCTTTCCATTGAGCCAAACCGGTCTCGGCAATTAATAGTATTAATTATTAGTATTAACTGCTGACTGGGTTGGATTCCAGAAAGGATTAGGGGCAGGAAATGAACTTGAATCCCAGAGAGGCAGAGTCAGAAGGGACATTGGGAATAATCCATTGCCTACCCCCCGCCCCCTACAGCTGGAAGCCATGCAGGACAGATGATGGCTCAGGGTCACCCAAGGTCACCCAGGGCATGGAGCTGTTGAAATTTTCCTCTCTGAAACTCACCCAAGACTGGCAAGGGCCACAGCCCTTAGAAATAGACAAAACTAGAAACTTCTGTTCTCAGTTATAGTTTATTTCACATAAAAATCCCCCCAAGTTTATGGAAATGATGTTCTCACATCACAACAGTAACCATAATGAATTGTGTTTTTTTTTATCTTTAAAAACCGCAAAACTTGCCATGGGGAGGATGGGCGTGTGAACGTTGACTTTGGGACAGAGCTTAGGGAGAGTCCATTCGCTGTTCCTTTATGACAAGGGATCCGGGTCCTTTGCATCTGGGTCCAAACTGCCCCAGAGATACAGATCTTTCCCGAAGCCAGTTCAGAGGGAGGGGTAGCAGCCCGGCTGGGCGGGGTGGCTGTTTGCAGAACATCTCACACCTGCGTCAGTGGCCGGCGGGGAGAGGCCTGCTCAGGGCTCTCTCTGTTCTGGAAGGACTGCTGTGGCCGAGTTGGGGTCCTTGGTTCTGCTTGCCCAGTGGTTGTCTGTGGTGCTGGTGGCCGGAGGGGCGGCGGCAGACCAGGCGAACCTGTGGGAACTGTGTGTGGCGGAATCTTTAGCCTGCAGAGTCCTTGAGGGCTGATGGGGTCAGCACCTTTGTCCGACTAGAGCAGGGGTTCTCAGCCTTCCTAATGCCACGACCCTTTCATACGACCCTCATGTTGTGGTGACCCCCAACCATAAAATCATTTCCGTTGCTATTATACTTCATAACTGTAATGTTGCTATTGGTAATGAATCGTAATGTAAATATCTGTGTTTTCTGATGGTCTTAAGCTCTACAGCAGCGGTTTGCGACCCACAGGTTGAGAACTGCTATCAGGGTCGCCTAAGACCATTGGAAAACAGATATTCACATTACAATTCATAACAGTAGCAAAATTACAGTCATAAAGTTGCAACAAAAATAATTTTATGGCCGAAACCGGTTTGGCTCAGTGGATAGAGTGTCGGCCTGCGGACTGAAAGGTCCCGGGTTCGATTCTGGTCAAGGGCATGTACCTTGGTTGCGGGCACATCCCTGGTAGGAGGTGAGCAAGAGGCAGCTGATCGATGATTCTCTCTCATCAATGTTTCTAACTCTCTATCCCTCTCTCTTCCTCTCTGTACAAAATCAATAAAGTATATTTAAAAAAAAGAAAAAGAAAATAATTTTATGGTTGGGGGTCACCACGACAGGAGGAGCTGTATTAAAGGGTCACGGCGTTAGGAAGGCCGAGAACCACTGGTCTATAGCCTCTGCAGGCATTTATTGATCCTGGGATTAGGTAGAATGAATTGCTTCCTATCCCTGGCTCTCCCCCTCCGCCCCCGACCCCTTACAGCAAGGCACTGGCCTTCCAGGCGTTACTGCCTTCACTGGGGTGGGAGTTTGGGCCTTTCAGGACCAGGTCGGTCTCAGATGAGCAAGGTTGCCCACCTGAACCTGCACTTAGGGCCTGGGACAGAGGGCCTTTTGCCGGGCGGCCTAGAGAGGCCCATCCCCCAACCCCTGCCGCCTCAGGCTCCAGGTGACGCACCTGGCCCCGAACAAGGTCCCTGCCCTTTATGTGACATCCGGGAAAGAGTGCAGAGCTACAAATCAAAAAACCCCACGGGGCCCTCACACGTCCTGGCCTCTTGAGGGCCATGCTGGGTCCCAGAACACGCAGGCCCAAAGCAGCTCAGAAACCTGGCATTTTCCAAGACAGGAGCTGCTGGCGTTAGGACAATTCCTTGATGTGGCAAAGTGCTGGGCATCCCTTTTCTTAGTGCCAAATGCCACCAGCTCCCTCTTGTTGGGATAACTCCACACGCAACTCCCTGCCATGCCAGGCCGAGAAGCATCAGACATTTCCACTGAGGCCAAGACCCTCATCCTCAGAAACCGGGCTGGCTCAACTGAACCTCGATGACAACCAGCTAAGAAGCCAGCTTCAGAGCCAGAAACAGGGGCCCGGGGTGTGTGCCTGCCCATCTTTTGCCCAGATTCACAGAAATAGAGACTCTTAGGATTGGAGGGGGCACAGAGGACCATTTCCTGCAAGCATAGTCCAGCTTTTTCTTAAATACTTCCGGAGACGGGGAACTCACTACAGCTAGAAGCTACCTGACCGGTGTTTGGACAATATTGAAGTCTGTCTCCTCCTAGCACAGGAGGCCGTAGCATCCAGCCCCCTGGAACGTACATCCCCAAGTGACCTTCAAAACAAACCAACACTGATACCCTGTTTCTTCCTCTTTCTCGGTCTGTGTTTCCAGGATGAGCCTGTTTCGGAGTCGGCTTCTCGGCCTCTGCTCTTGGCGGGAACCCAAGGGGCACACCCCAACTCCGTGCTGGGGGGTTGGAGAAGTGGGGACAGCGCGTTCCCTTTGGAGGGACGGGTCGGTTGCCCTGTGGCGTGGCATCTGCAGTAAAGGGGCTGGAGAAAGTTCCGGACTGAGAGGGTGTGTTACTGCCACAAGGATGACCGGTGGCAGCTTCACTTGTGCTGTGGGCCCCAGTGCTCCCTCGTCGATGACGGAGGAGGAAAAGGGGGCCAAACGGAAAGCCGTGAGGTTGGAGGTGCCGGGCCACAGCTCTGTTGGGGGACTGAGCTTCCCGGCCAGATGCCCAGGATTGCGGGAGCCATTCTGGGAGGAAAGGCACAAGAACGAATTCCAGATCTGGCCAGGGAGCTGGGGGTCATCTATGGCTCCCACCTGGTCCAGGGTCAAGCAAGAGAAGGGCCTTAAACCGGGACGTGGTGGAGTGGGTGGGGGCTCTGGGGCCATGCCCTGTGCTTCTCTCTCTCCTTGGCTGTGAGCTCATGAGTCTGGAAAGGCGGAGGGCTGAGAACTGGGTCCTTTCCCAGAATGCATTTCTACTGCATCATTAAAAAAAATGTTTTCAAGCAGCTAAGAAGGATGCTGGGTTTCAGAGATGGGTGGAGGAGACAGGCACCCTCGAGGACTGGGGTTCACGATGAGGTGGGATGAGATCCAGGGCCAGAGGGCATCGGACAGAGGTTTCTTGGCATCTGGTATTTTCTTCTGTGTTTTTCTCTGTTCTCTCATCACCTCAGGACATGCTGGAGAGAGGAAAACAGGCCATGTTATTATTAATTGTATTTTATTTGAATTTTTATAAGAGTTTGAGTCAAATTGATGACATATGCTGGGAAGCACACTCTCAAACGCTCCCTATTATTATTATTTATTTTTAAAAATGTATTTTATTGATTTTTTTTATAGAGAGGGAGAGAGATAAGAGTTAGAAACATTGATGCGAGAGAAACATTGATCAGCTGCTTCCTGCACGCCTCCTGCTGGGGATGTGCCTGCAACCAAGGTACATGCCTTTGACTAGAATCGAACCTGGGACCTTTCAGTCTTCAGGCCGACTCTCTATCCACTGAGCCAAACCGGTTAGGCCCTATTATTATTTTTAAAGAAAGTGGAACTACTGTCCCATGTACTTGGAATCCACAAGAATGATCTGATCTGGTTTTGGCAACACCCTCAGTAGCAAGAGTGGCACCTGTCCTTCAAGGCCTGCCATCTGCTACCCACTTTCCAAGTATGGTTCTGTAGGGGACCTCTCTCTTGGTGCCCCGGCAGAACAGACCTCAAAGCTGGTGCTTCCAATCAGACTGGAGGGAAACTTCAACCCATCTACCCCCAACCCTGTCCCACATCCATCCATCCATCCATTTATCTACTCACTCATCCGCCATCCACATACCCATCTAACCACCCACCCACCTCTCTGTCCATTCATCTGTCACTCTGTGTAATTCCTTCTTTTATGTCTTTAATCCTTTCTACCTGAGGATACCCAGGAAGGGGGTCTAATTCTGTTGATTATTGGATCTGCCAACTCACTCTCATGGTGGATGATTTCCTTGTGTATGTTATGTCTCCAGAAGGCCTGGAATGGATGGTCTTTTAAAAAACGCATTGTGAACTTGCATTCACTTAGTATCCCCTCAGCAGTACTGGCCTAAGGTTGTTTTTGGTGTTTATTTCTTAGCGTGGGGCTTCTTGTGTCACCTGCGTAGTATCAGGCAAGTGTCCCGGCATGTCACAGATGTGGGAGAAGGTGTAGTCAAGGATTAACCCTGCACATTCCAAGGAAAAGTGCGGCTCCTGGGAGGCCACCTCTGAGTCCTGGGAAGGTCCTGCCTGATAGGAGAGACTTTGCTTACCTGGGGCCTTGACTCGTGTCCGATAGTCTACACCAGTGATCGGCAAACTCATTAGTCCACAGAGCCAAATATCAACAGCACAACGATTGACATTTCTTTGGAGAGCCACATTTTTTAAACTTAAACTTCTTCTAACACCACTTCTTCAAAATAGACTCGCCCAGGCCATGGTATTTTGGGAAAGAGCCACACTCAAGGGGCCAAAGAGCCGCAGTTTGCCGACCAGGGGTGTGTTAACGTGGGATTTAGGGTGGGAGGTGTTAGCGTAACCTCTGGAGGGGCTGGAGAGGAAGGGCAGTCGGCTGTGCGTGTGACTGAGCCCGGGAAACTCCCTGGACACCAGGGCTCCAGTGAGTGTCCCCGGTTGGTAACACTGTGTGTTGCCCACATTTTTACGGGAGAATGAAGGGCTGTCCTGTTGCTGCCTTGCACCTGACTCCATCCTGCCCCTGGAGTAAGCCGTTCCCACGAGCAGAGCAGCCTTGCTGAGTTCTGAGTCGTTCTCGCAAACCACTGCACCCGAGGGTGGTCTTCAGGACCCCGACCCCGAGTGGGCTTTCCTGGCGTCCAGAACCCACGGGCACACTGAGGTGGCTGTGGGCACACCTGTGCCCTTCGGCTGGGGTGGGGTCCACTCAGAACGTGTCAAAAACGGCGCCAAGACCGCCCTGCTTCCTACCCACCTTGTTTCCTGATCTCCTGTGGCCGGAGCGGACCTGCGGAAGAGGGAAGGAGTCTTAGCGTTGCTTGCCTATTTGGGGAAGCCTGGGCATTTGCCTGGGAGCCCCATGAGGGCTGACCCAGCCTCAGCTTCATCGGGGACAAAGCGAGTGTCAGCGTGTGTCAGCCGCGTGACAAATGAGCCGGGACAGGCAGTCGTGAGGAGAGGGGCCGAGGCCTTCACTGATACAAAGCAAAGCCATTGATGCTGCTCGGGACCCACCGGGTCTGAGAGGCCAAACACAGCCACAGGGACTGGCACAGAGGTCACCTACTGAGATCTTCCTCTGAGAGCAAAACTCGGTCTCCCGGTGGCCTCACTGCCCGTGGTCCCTGTGCTTGGCTTGTCCTGGATACAGGGAAGAGGAGGGAATGGTCCCAAGATAGACCCACTGCCCTTGGGGACCTCAAGGGCAAGAGAAGGAGGGTCTCACCAGGATCACCTGCAGGAGGCAGACCCGACAGAGACAGGAAACTGGGAAGGACTTCCTGTGGCGAGGGAGGGGCTGGGCCAGGCCATTTGTCTACAGTCCCTGGGCGAGGCGCTAATTCTGTGGACATTAGGTGGATTTGATTTTATTTTTTATTTTTAAAAATATATATTTTATTGATTTTGTATAGAGAGGAAGGGAGAGAGATACAGAGTTAGAAACATCGATGAGAGAGAGTCATCGGTCAGCTGCCTCTTGCACACCCCCTACTGGGGATATGCCCGCAACCAAGGTACATGCCCTTGACCAGAATCGAACCTGGGACCTTTCAGTCCCCAGGCCGACGCTCTATCCATTGAGCCAAACCGGTTTCGGCTATTTGGTGGATTTTAAAATAGGAAGGGGGAGGGAAGGAATGGGAGTGACTGCTTAAGGGTCTCTCCCTGGGCTAATGGGAGGTTCTGGAACTAGGAGAGGTACCGAATGCACTAAATGGTGTACTTTATTTTTATTTTTAAAAAAATATTTTTATTGATTTCAGAGAGGAAGAGGGAGAGGGAGATAGAAACATCAATAATGACAGAGAACCACTGATCAGCTGCCTCCTGCACACCCCCTAGTGGGGATTGAGACCACACCCTGGGCATATGCCCTGATTGGGAATCGAACCGTGACCTCACAGTTCATAGATCGATGGTCAACCACTGAGCTACACAGGCCGGGCTAAATGGTGTACTTTAAAATGGTTCATTGGATGCTGTGTGGGTTTCACCTCAATTAAAAATAAATGAGTGAGGAGAACCCAGGAGAAGGGAAGGGCCTTATGCCGACAAGTAACACGTTCTGTTTCCACGCTGTCCAGCACAGGAGCCCTCAGCCCTGACACGTGGCCAGGGAGATGGAGGAGCGAACTTCCAAACGTTATTTACTGTTAATTTGTTTACATTTATTTTTTTAAAAATTTTTTTACAGGAGGAAGGGAGAAGGGTGGAGAATTAGAAACATCAATGAGAGAGAAACATCGATCAGCTGCCTCCTGCACACTCCCTACTGGGGATGTGCCTGCAACCAAGATACATGCCCTTGACTGGAATCGAACCTGGGACCTTTCAGTCCACAGGCTGACGCTCTTTCCACTGAGCCAAACCGGTGCCGGCAATTCGCTTACATTTAAATAGTGGCCTCTGCAAGTGCCCCCAGATGGGACAGCTCAGGATGGAGGGAAAAGTGACCCTAACATGGAGCATCTATGGGGGTGGGGGTGGGGTAAGCATCCTGCTGGCTGGTCTATGCCCCTGTTTGTGCTTCGTCATCCTGGTAACATCGGGATCATGGGAGCACGCTAACATCGTGACCACTTTTACCGGCCGTTCTGGTGGCCCGGCAGGCCGGCGGGTGTCAGCTCTCGTCCGGGTCACCGGCCCGCTTACCTGTGCTCCGCGGGCGCCGCCTCCGGCCTCTCTTCCGGCCCCGGCAGCACCAGCTCCGGCTGCGGCCTCGCGCTGGGGACACAGAGAGGAGATAGGGATGACGAGGTGGTTGGATGGAGGGGGATCTCGGCTCCCATGGGCCTCTCTGACCTGGGCCCATGGGGGCCTGAGAGCAGGGAGGTTTGTGCTGCCCCCAGGAAATTCGGGGCCCGGGAGGGTGGTGAGAAGTGGTCTCGCAGGGGTTAATGAAGATGAGGCAACTGGGAGGAAGGGGGACGGGGGAGGGGCGAAGACCCTGAACCATTCCTTCTGAGCGTTTATCTTGGCTATCCCTCAGAGGCTTCTATGCACGGGCTCCCCGGATGCTGGCTTCCTGTGCTGGATGCCAGAGGTGGTGGGTGTCCTGCTTGTGTTAGTCTCTATTCCTGTTCATGGCTAAAGCTGGGCAGGTAGGAGGAGTACAACGTCACCCTGCCCTGACTCCAGGACCCACTTCCCTCACTGCGTGAGGTGCCCCTCTTTTTTGCCATTTAAAGAGACTCCTGAACCAGGAATCTCAGTTGCCTCTGTGTCCCTGGATTCTAGCACAGAGCCAGGCAATGATACATGCTTCCCACTTGTGGAAAGCCCAACTCTCTCACAGGTTTGCTGTGTGGCCATGAACAGGTACCTTGCTCTCTCTGAGCCTCACATACCCGGGCTGTAAGATGCTGTTAGTGTCCTGGGCTTGCCTGGCTTTTGAGGGGCAAGGGATGTGAAAGTATCCAGGCGCTGGGCTAAGTAAGGGCTCTGTAATTGGGTGGGACCAGAATAGTCTTGAAGGTCTGTGACATACTGGATCTAATAATGAAACATGAGTCAATAAGGTATTAAATGGGCATGTCTGGGTCTGTTGTGGTGAGTCTGGGGCTTGTGTTTCCTCTGTAAAGGGAGACCTTAATATATATCATTGTGACGAGAGGCCCAAGGCACAAAGATTGGTGCAAGAATGGGTCTTCCTTCCCCTGACTGCCAGCACTGCCTTCACTCTGGCCACGCTGCTCAGTGGCCCAGGGCGGCCCGAGGTGGAGTGGGACACTTGCATCCTCGTGTCTGTGTATGCAAATTAACCCACCATCTTTGGTTGGGTTAATGTGCATACTCACTCCTGATTGGTTGGTGGGTGCCACGAGGTACAGTCAATTAGCATGTTACTTTTATTAGTGTAGATTACCATGAGCCCGCCACTTTTGCAAGTGGGCTACACTGCTCCTGATTTTTCACTGTAACCCCCAAGCTTCACTGTGAACTTTTTATCTGCCTAATGTCATTCTGTGACTCAGTAGGGAAATCAGGATTTGAACTCGGGTCTGATCCCACGTTCTCTCTGAGAAGTGCAGGGCATCTAGTGTGACATCGGTCCCTGCAGAGCCAAAGCCATTGGCTGCTCCCCACATGCAGGCCCAGCTCAGCGCCAGCCCCCACCCAGCCCAGACAGGGCCACTCTGCACAGACCTTTCTCTCCTGGCCTTGAGCCTTTCCTCTTCATACCTGGAAGAGAGGGAGAGCAGCCAGTCAGACAGCCCTCCTTCCCCTGCCCACATACTGCCCGGGGGGCGTCCGAACCCACACCGGGCTTCAGAGTAGAAAGCACAGCCGCAGGGGGCAACCTGCTGCCTTTCCACGTTTCCTGCAGCTGCTCTGCAGCCCCAGGGGCAGGGCGTGTCTGTATTGCTGATGTACCCCAGCGCCTGGTGTTGATGCGTCTCAGCAGACATTTGGCCTGACCCAGTGATTGAACTGGGCTGTGATAAAGCAACACACTCACTGATGTGGGTTGGTCTACACACCCCTCCATTGAGGCAAAACATTTCTGTAAAGGGCCGGAGAGTAACTGTTTTCAGCTTTGCAGGCCAGTCTTGGTTGCACCAACTCAATTCAGGTGTAGCTTGAAAACAGCCCTAGGCCATCTGTTAAAAAAATGGGTGTGGCTGTGTGCCAATAAAACTTTATTTATAAAAACAAGCTAGGGGCTGTGTTGTGCTGGCCCTGCCTAGCACTAAGTCCCTGGGCCCACTGTACTTCCCAATTTCACACGTGTTTGTTCACTGGTCCCCTCGGTCCTGCTGCTCTCCTGCTCACGCCTGGTTCTTGGGCAGCTGAGTGGGAACCTGAGGAGCCTGGGGGCGTTGAGGATGCAGGTGGGGCACTCACAGGGCATGGGGACACTCACTGTAGCACGCAGTCCGGGATCTGCACATGTTCCATGGGGATGAGCTGCTCCAGCTCTTCCAAGCTGTGCACATACTGGATCTTGTTGATGAACTTGACGCTGCCAAGAAGAGATGTGGTCACCCGGAGCCCGAATAACCCAATTCGAGGATGCCCTGAGCACCTTCGCTCAAATCTCCCCCCCACCCCACCCAATGCCAGTCGCCACCCTCTACCCCTAGTGGGGTGGACAGAGCAAGGCCTGGGGTCTCCCTGGCAAGAGGAGAAGGGTCCTGGCCCTGATCCCCACCAAGCTGAGGCGCTTGTTTAAAGGAAACAAAGAGGCAAGAGGTTCTAACAGACTAAGCATTCTCTTCATCCACCTAAGAATGATCCTCTGCGTTCCTTTTCCCAAGAATGCTTTCCTGGCACCCTCGTCTCTGCTGGGGACACCGGCTGTCATGGGTGCAGGAAGGCAGCGTGGGACTGATTCACCCTCCATTCTTTCGGGATGAATGGCTTCATCCTGGCCAAACCCGGACGCAGGCTGCTGGACCGGGCTGTGCTTTGTCACCAGCACACTGCTTTGAACTCTCCGTTATTAAAACGTATTTTTTCAACTTAAATCTAGTTTTGGTGATATGTAAACTATACTTTTTTTCCCCAAGGGAAAAGAAAATGTTTTAACAATGTGAAATGTAAGGCCAAGAGAATACAACAGTACAATAAAGAAGAAAGCAGCCCCAGCTGGTCTGGCCCAGTGGATAGAGCGTCAGCCTGGGACTGAAGGGTCCCTGGTTGGATTCTGGTCAAGAGCACATGCCTGGGTTGCGGGCTCTATCCCCAGTGGGGGGCATGCAGGAGGCAGCCGATCAATGATTCTCTCTCATCATTGATTTTTTTTTCGTTAATGTTTCTATATTTTTCTCTCTCCCTTCCTCGCTAAAATCAATAAAATTTTTTTAAAAGTTTGCTAAATAATAAATTTAAAAATAAACAATAAATAGAAGAAAACAAATAATAATAATAATATAAAAAAGATACAGCGATAGGTCTACAAGAGTATCAAGATTTATATCATAGAGCACCGGCCAATAGACTGAAGGGTCCCAGGTTCGATTCCGGTCAAGGGCATGTACCTTGGTTGTGGGCACATCCCACAGGGGGCAGCTGATTGATGTTTCTCTCTCATCGACGTTTCTAACTCTCTCTCCCTCTCCCTTCCTCTCTGTAAAAAAAAAAATCAATAAAATATATTTTTTAAACATTTCAGCTCCAGCTTTCTGGCATTCAGTGGTGAGTTATGCAGCTCACAGTGCCCACAGGGAAAAATAAAGCAGTTTCTTCGCAGAGGCCCATAGTAACTGATTGGGAAAGACAGTTTTCCCATGGGGAGTCACAGAGCAGCCTTGTGAACCGAAATGAACAATGCCAACTGCTTTCCTGCAGTTCAAATGCCATTTTTTTTTTATTAAAAAAATTATCCTCACAGCACGAGGCCTCCCTCCAGTTGGCGTGACAGAGGGTAAAGGGTGAATAGGGAGAGAGCAAATTTCAGACCTGGGCAGCAATCGTGTCCCCACCAGTCTCACCAGGGTTGTCTGCTCTGTGCCTGAATATGCCCGGGTTCCGCAGGCTCAGGGCGGACTGATTGGATTTGTTAGGAAGGATTTCTTTGTGGTGCTCAGAGCCAACACCTGCTGCTCTGAGTGCTGGTCTAAAAATACAGGCAAAACTTACGTCATGAGAGTGTGGTCCCCCCCACCATGCCCATCACTGCAAACAGATACCCGCATCTCCCTGTGACCGGCTGCCTGCCTGTGAGCCAAGCTTTCTGCCTCGTGTTGGGGCGGGGGAGGGGGAGCGCTGTCACGGGGGAGAATTCCAGCTCAGTGCAGCACATCCCCAGCCTTTGATGAGCACGGAACACGGGGTTGTCTTGGAAATTTAATCACAGAACCTCAGGGTTGGATTGCAGGTCAGAATTGGTCTCCATTTTCCTCAGCTTTTCTGTTACAGATTTTTAAAATTGACTTTTAGAGAGAGGAAGGAAGAGGGAGAGAGAAACATTGATGTGAGAGTATAGCTTGGCTGCCTCTTGCACGCCCTTCTGGGGATCCAGCCAGAAACCCAGGCCCTGACCAGGAATTGAACCTGTAACCTTTTAGTGCCCCAGATCATGTCCAACCAGCTGGGCCACACTGGCCAGGACCACTTTCCTCAGCTTTTAAAAGGAGATGTTCATTTTTCTCCCTCTCCCCTCTTTTTTTATTTTTTATTTCTTTAAATATTTTATTGATTTTTCACAGAGAGGAAGACAGAGGGATAGAGAGTTAGAAACATTGATGAGAGAGAATCATTGATCAGCTGCCTCTTGCACACCCCTCACTGGGGATGTGCCCGCAACCAAGGTACATGCCCTTGACCAGAATCGAACCCGGGACCCTTCAGTCTGCAGGCCGATGCTCTATTCACTGAGCATACCGGCTTCCGCTCCCCTCTTTTTTCCTTTGAAAGCTCAAAACAAGATCTTCAAACTTTGCCATGGGAATAGCAACCGAGAGTGAATGAACGATCTGCCTTGGATGATGGGATACGGAGGCCAGAAGGCAGTTCCGTTTTGCCCAGTGGGTTCATTAGCACAAATGATCCATAGTTAGTGTGTTATTCACCTGCTTTCACTGTCCTTGAGCACAGAGTGTCTGGAGTGACCTCCTTGCAAATCCTTCAAGGCAAAGTATGGGCCCCACTCTTTATTCTTTCTTTCTTTCTTTCTTTCTTTCTTTCTTTCTTTCTTTCTTTCTTTCTTTCTTTCTTTCTTTCTTTCTTTCTTTCTTTCTTTCTCTTTCTTTCTCTCTCTCTCTCTCTCTCTCTCTCTCTCTCTCTCTCTCTCTCTCTAATTTCAGAGATGAAGGGAGAGGGGGAGAAAGAGATGGAAACATCCATGATGAGCGGAAATCATGGATCGGCTGCTTCTTGCACACCCCACACTGGGCATTGAGCCCACAACCTGGGCATATTCCCTGACCAGGAATTGAACCGTGACCTCCTGGTTCCTAGGTTCATGCTCAACCACTGAACCACGCTGCCTGGGCTGGGCCCAACTCTTAAACGCATCACAGATTCTTAGTTGGGAAATGTGGAAATGAAGGATTTTGCTCAATTCAATGTTTGGCATGACATTAAGTTAAGTATACATTCGGTTTGATGTGATTGACTAAGGTATGTAACACGCCAAATTTTGTTTTGCTTGCTCTGTTTTTCCAGGTGCTTCTATCTCGTGTAGCCGAGGGCGATCCCAGCAGGCCTGGAGGACCCAAACCCTGCACATTGCAAAGAAAGAGCTGGCTCTTGGTACTTGTGGGAGATCAGCTACAAGCGCAGAATTGTCCTGCCTGGTAAGATGTCAGGTTACCCGGGGCCTCAAATCCTGCCGTGTAGTCTATGCCAGTGGTGTGGTGTACGGCGGGGGCCTTGAGCCATGTGATGCCAATGTGATCTCTGGAGTCGCTGAAGACCGAGTGAGTTGGGCCACCTGGTGCTCCGTTCCTGTGTGACAGCCCGGGAAAACTCTGGACACCAAGGCGAGCTTCCTAGTTGTCACCTGTGCTTGCTGGGAGAAGGATTTTTGGCACAACTGGGAGGGGCTCACTAACTGGAAGCTCATTTCCAGTTTCTCCTAGACTCCCACAGGCACTGGTTTCCTTTGCCAGTTTTAACCTTCATCCTTGCGCAGTAATAAGCCGGAATCATGGGTATCACAACTCTTCTGGGTCCTGTGAATCCTTTTGGTAAATCATCGATCCCAAGCGGGGGTGCACGTGCTGGTTCACTGAATTATTGGCCAGGAGTAGGTCAGACCGTCTATGGCTCCTCCACAAATTCTGGAGTGAATGGAGCTGGGCTCCCGTCTCGGGGAGTGTGGGGGCTAGTGGCCTTGCTGTGTGACTCTGGGTGAGTTCCTTGACCTTTCTGAGCCTCAGTTTCCTCCTCCGTGACATGTACACGGTTTACACCAGCGTCTCAGGGTTAAATGTCAAAAGGGATCCAACATTCAATATGGGATGATTGATTATTATTTTTCTCGTGTTTGCCGCTTAATAACAACGCCCGTGATTGAAAAGTGTGTAAGTTAATAACACAGAGGAGCTGGGAAATGCAGATTAAAAAGAAAGACACCACCCACGCGGTATTGGGACGCAGGTGGCCATCTCACCTGATGAAGGGGCGGGAGATGGCCAGCACGGTGCGGATGAACCAGGACGGGTGGACGATGATCAAGGACTTCAGGTTTTTCCGTAACCTGCGTGGGAAGGCGGGAGAAGCAGGAGGGGCTCCTGGGGCGAGCCCTGGGGAGGAGGGCTGCCTCCTCGGTGCTCCCTGGAGGCGCCACCACCTCACTGGGAGAAGGCAGAGTCTGGGGAAAGCCACGCCCCTCGATGGAGTTTGCAAGTGGCGGCGCTGTCCCTCTCCTAAATTAGAGTCTGAGCAATTTTAACTTGTCATGTTGAATTGCATCCCCCTTCCCTGCTTCCAAATTCATAGCCCCTGGGTCCTGAGAACAGGACACTCTCTGGAAAACAGGGTCTTTGCAGATGGAATGATGTCAGGGGAGGTCAGACCAGAGCAAGGTGGGCCCTTAACCCATGATTAGTGGTGTCCTTGTGAAAAGAGGACATTTGCCGAAACCGGTTTGGCTCAGTGGTAGAGCGTCGGCCTGCAGACTGAAAAGTCCCAGGTTCGATTCCGGTCAGGGGCATGTACGTTGGTTGCGGGCACATCCCCAGTAGAGGGTGTGCAAGAGGCAGCTGGTCAGTGTTTCTCTCTCACCGACATTTCTAGCTATCTCTCTCCCTTCCTCTCTGTAAAAAATCAATAAAAATATACATTTAAAAAAAATGGCGATGTTTCTCAGTAATCAATGTTTTGATCTCTCCCTCTCCCTTCCTCTCTCTCTAAAAAAATCAATAAAAACATATATTAAAAAAATAGAAAGAAAAGAGGACATTTAAGACACGGAGCCACACTCGGGGAGATGAAGGTAGAGATTGGGGTGAGGCATCTACAAAGCAAGGGGCACCGAGGATTGCCAGCGACCCCTAGAAGCTGGGGGAGCATGGAGCAGATGCTCCCTCGGGGCCCCAGATTCTCCCTCCCGAGCCAGCCCCGCTGGGGGGCCCCTGGCACCAGAGGCGGGCCCCGCCCCTTCACCTCCCCGCCACGCCCCTCCACCTCCCCACCCCGCCCCTCCACCTCCCCACCCCGCCCCTCCACCTCCCCGCCCCGCCCCGCCCCTTCACCTCCCGCCCCACCCCTCCACCTCCCCACCCTGCCCCTCCACCTTCTGTCGATCATCTGGTAGCACTTCTTCAGCCAGCTGATGCCGGGCATCCTCCGCCGGGGGGTGGCGCCGTTCAGGTACACGATCATGTAGTCCTCCGCCACCAGGAGCTCCAGGCTGCTGATGACGTACCTGGGCCCGGTGAGCGCGGTCCGAGTCAGAAAACCCCAGGTCCGGTGGCACGTGCTCCCTGTGCCACCCCCTGCCCGGCTGTGCCAGCCTCACCTGTTGTCCCAGCACACTCCAGGCGGGGTGGATGTGATTAACACTAGCCCACCCCAGATTTGTGTCAGTGACTATTATGAGCATAGAGGTTGCTATTTAATTGAGCACTTACTATGTGCCATGCTTTATATGCATGACTTCACTTACTGTCTCCACTGATTCTGGGGATGGGTCTCCATAGCCCCAGACAGAGCTGGGGAACAGGCACCCACAGTGGGCAGTTGCTGGCATCAGATATTAGGAGCCTAGGGTCCCTCCTGGCTGCTCTGTTTCTCTCTGAGGGATTTCAGAAAAATCCTTTCCTGCCCTGATGGGTTTGGCTAAGTGGATAGAGCGTTGGCCTGTGGACTGAAGGGTCCCAGGTTAGATTCCAGTCAAGTGCATGTACCTTGGTTGTGGGCATATTTCCAGTAGGGGGTGTGCAGGAGGCAGCTGATCAATGACTTTCTCTCATTGATGATTCTAACTCTCTATCTCTCTCCCTTCCTCTCTGTAAAAAAACAATACAAATATATTTTTAAAAAAAGAAGAAAAAAAAATCCTTTCTTCTCTCAGCCTCTCCTTTCCCATCTGTAATTGGGGGGCTGGGTTCCCTGGCCTCTCAGGCCATTTCCCGTTCTGACTTTCCACAGGTACCCCCTCATTCACAGGTACCCCCTCCTCCTCTGGCCCCCCTGGCACCAGGTCCCGCTGTGTAAGAGGAAACCTTCCTGATAAGGACAGTGAGCAATCATGACTGACTGAGCTCTGTCTGCCATCTGCCCGGTGCTTTACACGTATGATCTGTCTCCATCGTCATGAGACGGTACCGGAGTGCCCTTGGGCAAGTGACTTACGGTCTGTGCCCCAGACTCTGCCCCCGTCGAATGGGAGGCGCCTGCCCCGCAGGGTTACGGCGAGGGATGGAATGCGTTACCACGTACGCAGCTCGTGGCCTCGTGGCTGCCTCCCAGTGAGTACTGAGTACACGACAGTGACGAGGACGGCCATGATTGCACCGATGAGGCCCCGTGGGTGATCAGGGACCTCAGATCCAGGTCTGCTGGCAGCCCAGCCCCTGCCTGGTGCCAGGCAGAGCCCCCTCCCAACATGGCTCTCACAGCCAGGTCCAGCCCGCTGCCGGGACCCTCGGGAGGGCGGCCACTTACAGGAAGAGGTGCTCCATGAGGTAGTGGTAGTCGGGAGAGCTGCTGTCTGGGAGGAAGCAGGCAGCAAAGACGATGATGGCGCTGAGACCTTCGCCGTAGTACCCTGGGGGGAGGCAGCCAGTGAGCGCCCAGGCAGAGCCCACGCTGAGCTCCAAGCTCGGAGCCGCCCGGTGCCCCTGACCTGTCTCTGCCTTTGGTAGGGATCGCCAGCCACCCTCCCAGGCAGCCAGGTCTCATCCTCATGCGAGTTTCACCCTCACCCACCCACCCAGAGAGGAGAGCTCAGCTCCCCGTGGCTCCTGGGGAGATGGGGTGCAGAGGGCCGCACCCCGGGGCCTCACCTCCGTGGGTCACCACCCTCATGTAGGGCCGGATCATGTGCAGGTCGATTCGATGCTCCTGCTCTCCGATGATCACCGTCCGCCACAGGCGCCCGTTGGCGGCGCTGCCATCCTCCGCCGAGCCGTCCCCAAACAGGTCGGCGCTGGCCCCGGGCATGTTCTTGGCAGCGGCCACGGGGGTGTCATCTGGAAGGGACGCCTGAGTGTGACGTCTCGTCCCAGCCCCTCCCAGCTCCCTCTGCTGCCTGTGGCCGCCGAGCGCCCCCCACCTCTCCAGGCCACAGGCAAAACAGTATCCTCCACCTCACTCACCAATGGTGTCAGCCTGGGGCTGCGGGGGTGGGGGTGGGGGAATGAGGGGCCTGGTAGCCAGACAGTCACACCCAAATAACCTTTTCCAGCTGCGGCTACAGGAACGTGCCCAGGTGGGTGTCAGGCAGGAACGTGCCCAGGTGGGTGTGTGACCTCGCATGCCTTCCTCCCCTCTCTGGGCACCGTTCCTGCTCAGCTGCTTTTATTTTTTATCATTTTAAAACATTTTCATTGATTAAGGTATTACAGGTGTACATATTTTCCCATTGCACGCCTCACCCCACTTCCATACATGCCCTTACCCCCCAGTGTTTTGCATCCATTGGTTATGCTTATGTGCATGCATACAAATCCTTCGGTTGATCTCTTATCTCCCCCACCTCTCCCTAATCTTCCCGCTGTAATCTGACAGTCTGATGCTTTACGGCCTCTGTATCTGTCTTGTTGTTCATCAGGTTATAATGTTCTCTATTATCCACAAATGAGTGAGATCATGTGGTATTTTTCTTTTATTAACTGGCTTATTTCACTTAGCATAATGTTCTCCAGTTCCATCCATGCTGCCGCAAATGGTAAGAATTCCTCCTTTTTTGTGGCAGCGTAGTATTCCATTGTGTAGATGTGCCATCAGCCACTCTTAAAACATCCACCTCTTCCCCACCCTTCGCCCTGCAGGCTTCCTGCCTCAGGAAGCAACTCAGCCACATTCCCAGCTGCTCAGGCCCCACAATCCCCAGGCGTCACCATTGGCTCCTTCCTCCCTTTATGGTCCACACCCACCCGCCCTGCGGCTCTGCGGCTCTCATCCATCCCAGGGCCACCACCCGGCCGTCTCTCGGACCTGACCTGTGCTTTTGTCTTGAGATGTCAGATCAGCTGACACCTCCCCAGCGAGCCCTGCTCTGACCATCCTGAGTCCCCCTCACCCAGTTACCCCAGCTCAGGGGGTCTCACCCTGAGCCCTGAGGAGGTGTGGGCCTGGGTCGTTCTCTGTGGGGGGCTGTCCTGGGCACCATGGGGTGGTGAGCAGCACCCCTGGTCTCCCACCTCCAGTTGTGACAACCACAGATGCCACCAGGCATTGCCAAGTGTTCTTCGGGGGCAGAATCACCCCTCAGGTGAGACTCCTGCCCTAGGCCTTCACCTCCCCTGCATCGCTCATAGCTCTGATGGCCAGCTGCTATGCCCTCCTTTCTTTCACCCCCCAGCGCCTGTCTCTGACCAGCGTGTGTGCAGGCGGCACCCTCTCTTCCTGCCGTGTTCCCTCCACACCCCGCGTCGCAGTTGCGAGCTGCTCCTGAGCACATGCCCTGCAGACCCCGTGGGGCCAGTCGGAGGCACTGTCTTCCGGTCTCGGTCAGCTCTGAGAACAATGTCCCCCTGAACAGCCCAGGTTTACAAGGGAAACATGCATGGCGTTGCAGGGGCAGGTGGACCTGGGGGTGTCCCTGAGCCCTGAGTCGGGGAGCCTGCCTCCCTGAGCCTGTGGGGATGGAGGAATTGCTCCATGAGCTGGCCCCGGAAGCCAGTAGGGCTGCCGAGTGCGATGCGGGGCCAGGCCGGGGCCGGGAGCGGACCCGGGGCTCACTCACCTTCCCACTCCAGCTCGTTGCCGTTCCCCAGGAACTCCAGCGAGTCCGTCTCGTCGGGGGTCTCGATGTCGTCCACGTTGATGTCCAGGTCGTCGGGGGTGTCCAGGAAGTCGTCCGACAGCAGCGAGCCCTCGCTCTGGTCCAGGGAGATGTTGATCTCCGGGGCGACCAGGGTCTTCCGCTTGCGGTGGGCTCCGCTGAAGTTCAGCGTGTTGGGAGGGGCTGCGAGGAAGCAGGAGAACAGACACAGGACAAAACAGGGGGCTTTTTCTTTCTTTTTCCTCCTCTCCACTCCCTGACCCGGGGGGAGCTCACTTCCCATATTTAGTAAATGAGAAACGGGAAGCACAGAGAGGTTGGGTCACCAGCTCAAGGACACTCAGTGTCGCCACTGGGCCCACTTCATGACAGCGCCCAGCTGTGTCCCGCCCACCACAGCTGCTTCGCTGGCAGGCCTCGGGGCCGAACACCCCCTTTCCTGACGGGCCACTCAGGAGTCACAGCCCCGGACATTTCTACGGTCTTGGGCAGAGCACCCCTCTCTGCACGAGCGGAGACTCACAGGATGTGTCTTCTGCTGGGCCGCCGAAGGCGTCCATCCCCGTCTCTTCCCGGAGCGGCCTGTGAACCGGGCATCCATCACCAAGCACCGGAAACCCGCAGCCGGAGCACGGAGTTCAGACAACAACAACAACAACAACAACAACAGCGTCCTTTTAGCTCTGGGAATTGTCCGCACAAAATGCATCTGCGCATCAGCACAGAGCATCAGAGAGCCCAGTGCTGGAGGGCTCCCTGCAGAGAACATAATGTATGTTGTCTTTCCACCAGGGAACTGAAAGGGGGGCTGTTTAGATTGGGAAGGACAGTAGAATGCTCTTTCCTTTCCTTTTCAAAAACTCTTTATCCCTCGCCTCTGTTCCTTGTCAGTGAGGACCTGGTACCCTTCGCAGGGTGGGCCCTCCCCATGCTTCTTCCTTTCCCTTCCTCCCTCCTTTTTTCCGTTCACCACGCAGTGAGTGTTCGTTGAGTAACCACTCCCTTCCAGATGCTGTGACGGGCTTTGGAGGTAAAGGGCGAATCAGATGTTACCCTGCTCTCCCGGAGGTCAGAAACAGAGCAGACGCCCTAAGACAGGAGGCGGCAACCTACGGCTCCAGAGCCGCATGCAGCTCTTTTGAAGCTTTACCGCGGCTCCGACAACTTGCAAGCCTGTGTGAAAATGAAGGTAACGTCTTACAGCCCTGATGTGCTGACACTGTGCACTGAGGTTCAGGAGCAAAAATCCCATTAACCAGGTAAATTAAATATTTTAATTAGCTATTAATTTGCAAAAAATATATTTTACATTGTTAAGTGAAAAAGTCCTTTTTTTCTTCAGATTGACAGCTAACTGCACGATCCGGTATATAGCATTAAGGTAAGAAACAATATATGCAGTGTTCTATTTGTTTTAAATGTCGCAATGGTTTTGGGGCTCCCAGGTTTTTTTTTTCCTTCGGAAACGGGTCCAAGTGGCTCTTTATGTCTTAAAGGTTGCAGACCCCTGCCCTAAGAAAACGAAGACATCCCACACGCAAATGCTCACAGTAACATGATTCACAGCAGCCAAAAAGTGGGAACAACTCATATCTATCTGTCGATGAGTGAATAAACAATGGCCACACAATGGAATAGGATGCAGCCATGAAAAGGAAGGAAGCACGGACTCAGGCGGCAACATGGATAAACCTCGAAAACTTTATGCTAAGTTAGAGACAACAGACACAAAAGGCCACCTCGTATGTGATTCATGTATGTGAAATGTCCCGAACAGGCACACCTCGAGACAGGAAGTGGGTGAGTGGTTGCCAGGGGCTGGGGGAAGGTGTGTGTGGGAGGCAACTGCTGAGGGGGACAGGGCTCCTTCTTGGGGTGACAGGAATGTTTGGAACTAGACAGAAGGGATGAACTAGAACTCACAGCAGCCACATGAGGCAGGCAGAAGCCAGTTCCATAGAAGAGGAAACCGAGGCAGGGCTAGAGGACCCCCTCCGGGTTGAAATGAAGTTGGCACAGAGCTCATTCCAGTCGTTGCCCTTTACTGCCCCCTTGTGCCCAGTCAGCACATGTGCATCAACCCGAGGGAGGACAACAGGGAAGCAGCCCTCTGGCCTGGGAGCGTATCACATGGGCTGAGCAGGGAGCCGGGTTTGGCGCCCCAACTCCTCCGGACAGGAAACTGCACTGCGGTGCAGCCAGCATGGTCTTCCGTCCTCACCAGGCTGTGATTCAGCCACCCAACCCTGGGCGGTGAACATCCTACTTGGCTAGATCCTTTCTAGCCCAAATGTTGGGGAAAGCATCCAACTGCTCAGCGACTGGGACTAGGAAACCAAGGAACTGAGTAAAACGGGGGGCATGTCTGAGAGCGCTGGAAGCAGCCACCTGCTCTGCGGCTCTCCAGCGCTCTGCGGCTCTGTGCGTCCCTTCCTCTCTCAGCCTCGGGTTTCCTTGTCTGTAAAATGAGAAGAAGGCAAGTACCACTTCTCACTGATTTCACAAATCTCTTGGGTGCCTGGGCTCTGGGAAACGTACAGGGCTCAGACGGTAACACACAGTTTGGGGTGGGGGGCTGAGGTGTTGTGAGGAGCTTTCTGCCAACGTGGCCGGGCTCTGCCAGTTATCTGATCAAATGCTGGTCCAGGTGTTGCCGGGAAGGAATGAGGTAGATGTAGTTCAAATCTATCATCCGTGGACAATTAAGAGACTATCCTCACGCAACGGAAAGGCCTGAGGTTTTCCTGAGGAAGAAGGAATTCTTGTATGGCTCAGTGGTTGAGCATCATCAGCCTATAAACCAGGAGGTCACAGTTCCATTCCCGGTCAGGGCACAGGCCTGGGTTGCGGGCTCAGTCCCCAGTAGGGGGCATGCAGGAGCAGCCAATCAATGATTCTCTCTCATCATTGATGTTTCTAGCTCTCTCTCCCTCTCCCTTCCTTTCTGAAATCAATTAAAAATATGTTTTTAAAAAAAAAAAGAATTACAGCATCGAATCCAGCCTGAGTTTCCAGCCTGCCCTATGGATTTTAGACTTGACATCCCTACAACTGAGCAAGACAATTCCTTGGAACAAATCATATATATAATACCCACAATCATATATACAAAATAGTATGTTAAAACATACCTATATTATGAATGAAGTATACGTACTTATATGTATAATTGTACATATATAATATAAATAGACACAATAATAGTACGTATTAATGAATAATATATACAACCATACAAATATGTATTATATAGGTAATGAAAGCCAACTGGTTCTGTGTTTTTTCTTAAGAACCCTGATTGATACAAAAGGGAAGGAAGATGATAATCAAGTAAATAAACGGATGAATAAAGCAGGTAGTTGCAACAAGGGAAATAAGCAAGATGAAGGAGGAGGGACAGGGCGCAATCAGGGGTGGCCAGGGAAGGCTTCTTTGCCAGGTGACTTGTTGTTGTTGTTGTTGTTGCTAATCCTCACCCGAGAATATCTTTCCACTGATTTTTAGGGAGAGTGGAAGAGAGGGGAAAGACAGAGAGAAACATCGATGTGAGAGAAACACATCAATGGGTTGCCTCCTGCACAAGCCCCATCAGGTCCAGGCTGGGGAGAAGCCTGTGCTCTTGACCAGAATTGAACCCAGAACCTTCAGACTGCAGGCTGGCGCTCTGCTCTGTCCACTGAGCCAAACTGGGTAGGATGAGCAGGTGACTTAAAAAAAAAAAAAAAAAAAAAAAAAAAAATATATATATATATATATATATATATATATATATTATTGATTTTTGTACAGAGAGGAAGACAGAGGGATAAAGAGTTAGAAACATCGATGAGAGAGAGTCATCGATCAGCTGCCTCTTGCACACTCCCTACTGGGGATATGCCCGCAACCAAGGTACATGCCCTGGACCGGAACCGAACCTGGAACCTTTCAGTCCGCAGGCCAATGCTCTATCCACTGAGCCAAACCGGTTTCGGCTTTATTGATTTTTTAAAGAGAGGAAGAGAGAGGAATAGAGAGTTAGAAACATCGATGACAGAGAAACATCGATCAGCTGCCTCTTGCACACCCCCTACTGGGGATGTGCCCACAACTAGGGTACATGCCCTTGACGGGAACTGAACCTGGAACCTTTCAGTCTGCAGGCCAACGCTCTATCCACTGGGCCAAACCGGTTTCGGCATGAGCAGCTTTTGAGTGAAGGCGAGAGGCTGGCATCATGGGAAGACCGAGGAAAGGGCATTCCTGTGGAGGGCACAGCAGCTGCGAGCACCCTGAGACCAAACAAGCTTGGTGAGTTGCTGGAACAGATCAGAAAGCTGACCAGGGTGTCAGGAGCAGAGAGAGCAGAGGGGAAGGGAGAGTGGGTGGGGAGAAAGGCAGGCCCCAGGGCAGGTGTTATCCTGGGAGTGGAAGGAGGTCATGAGGCTGAGGCACCTGGCACAGTCCAGAGAGTGCAATGGACATTCCATAAATGTTCCGGCTTACGCCGGAGAGCTGGAGAAGCCGACTCAGCAGGACTCTGGGCTCCTGGGAGGAAAGGCCACGGCTTCTGACAAAGGCAGAGCAGACTCCCACCCTGTCTGGCCACAGGGCTGCGGCTTTCTGGGCAGCTGAGACCTTGTTACTTTCCCAAGTCCCAGGAAAACCTCCAATTACACAGAGCAAAAGCCTTGCTGTGAACCCGAGGTGGATGCAGGTGGCTCTCGGTAGGGCTTGCTCTCAGCGACGGGCAGCCCTGCATATGCAAGGCACACGGTGTGGCTTCCTCCTTCTGTAGGGAGGTGTCCTCCCCGGAAGGCAGCTCAGTTCCTAACCCCTCTGCCTGTGAATGTGACCTGTTTGGAAATAGGGTCTCTGCTGATGGAATTAAGTTGAGGTCACACTGGATGATGGGGGCCCTGAATCCAAAGAGTGGTGTACTTTTTTTTTTTTTTTAAGTACAGTTTTTTTTTAATATATTTTTTTTATTGATTTTTTACAGAGAGGAAGAGAGAGGGATAGAGAGTTAGAAACATCGATGAGAGAGAAACATTGATCAGCTGCCTCTTGCACACCCCCTACTGGGGAAGTGCCCGCAATCAAGGTACATGCTCTTGACAGGAATCGAACCCGGGACCTATCGGTTCGCAGACCGGCGCTCTATCCACTGACCCAAACCGGTTTCGGCGAGTGATATACTTATGAGGAGAAGAAAACGTGGATACAGGCACTCAGAGGAGAAGGCCATGTGGAGATGGAGGCAGAGGTTAAAGTGATGTGTCCACAAGCCAAGGAATGCCAAGGACTGCCAGCAGGCACCAGCGGCTAAAAGAGGCAGGAAGGATTCCCCCTAGAGCCTGAGGGCCTCAGAGGGAGCATGGTCCCACCGGCACCTTGATTTTGGATGTCTAGCCTCCAGCCTGGGAAAGAACCCATTTCTGTGTCTTAAGCCATCCAGTTGGCGGGACTTTGTTATGGCAGCTCCAGGAAACTCATGCACCCTCTCAGGGTGAAATAAAACCCCTCACCTGGAGGTCACGGTTTGATTCCTAGTCGGGCACATGCCCGGGTTGCAGGATTGATCACCAGTGTGGAGGCAGGGG